AAAATTTTTTTTTTTAATTCATTTTTACCAAATAACTATAAAAAGTCTACCAACAAAAATCGTCAAAATATCAAATATTCCAACTTCAATACTTGCAGATTTTTCTTTTCAGATTATTTATATTTCTCTGGATAAAAAGAATATTGACTGTCAGAGTGAATAAAAATTTGTTGCAATTTTATTTTATTTTTTTTCCTCTCACCCTCTATGAATTTAAAATCTAAAACCGGACATCAGAATCTGGAATGTTAAATTAAGTTCATAATTTGACTAATTTTGTCATTTGTGTTTCAACATCTTATGGCAAGTTAAAAATCATTAGCCACATTGTATTTCAACAACATTTGACATTTCCATTTATTTATACCTTTTTTCTTTTTCCATAAACAATCATTTCAGTGTAAAGATTTACAAAAAAAAAAAAAAAAAAAAAATTTTCTTGCCTGATGTTTTCTTTAAATGGGTGATGTTTTTAAAGATTTTTCTTTTAACTTAAGTAGAAAGAATAGTGATTAGAAACTTTTCATGGATCATAATTTCCATAAACAAGCCTGATAAATTTAAAAAAAAAAAAAAAAAAAAAAAGCATTAATTCATGAATTTGGTCATATAAATTGAGAGTTCAATCCCTGGTCCAGGCAGTGTGTACTTGAACTCAGTTGGAACAGTAATCAATAACCAAGTAGTACTAAATCTGAACATGATGAGATCCCTGGACATGGGCAGCAGAATGAGAACAAGTTTGTCGATTAAATAAAGGATTTAGTTTGAAATTCTTGAGGTTAGCCAAATTGACAAGCACCTGATGGCACAAAGATGCAGACAATAGTCTGCAGATAAATAAATTAGGTAGAAAGTTCATCACAAACTTGAATTCACATATGCAATTCCAATAGTAAACTATAAAATTCAAACCTCACCAGATGACCGACATTCATAACTTCTCACACACAAGGTTTAAAAAAAAAAAAAAAAAAAAAAAAGCAATAATAGATTGAATGATCTTTATTAAAATTTATGATCATGTTTCTTCACAAAAAGAAATTTCTATACAATACCGAGGAACTTAGAAAACTTGATAAGTTGAAAGGCAGAAAAGGCTATGTACAAGCAGTAATAAAATACAGGTAAGAACCTTAGCAGGTCAATTCTGTCATTGTCATCTTAATCGTTCTTCTTCATTGATTGGCTGATTTGATTTCTTCAAAGCATTTCAATTGGATAATAATAAAGAGAGACAAGAGCCGCCAGCCAGACTTAACAAATATGAGTTTTTATCATACAGTGAACAGCAGCTAGACACTAGCTCATTTGCAAACATGCCACTTAACACCAACACATTTTCTTTTTTTTAAATTGTAATGTACAGACTTAAGAGAAAAGCAAAGGTCACTAAGCATCAAAGCAGTTAACAGAATTCATGCACAATCGTCCTGGGCAATGTAGCTTGCTCCCAACACTTTAGTCGGGTCAATAATACAGTTGGAAGAAAAAAAAAATTTCTTTTAGGGAAAGGGTAAAATGTATTCTCCTTTAAAAAATAAAAACCATTATCAAATTTAGAGTGGGAAGAGAAGAAAAATAAACTCTCTTCTAGAGAATTGGAGAATGTGATGGACAAATACTATAAAGATGTTAAATGCCTACAATAGAAGTAACAGCCATGAACTGCACAGTATTATTTGATTTCTGACAAACACACAAGCAGGATACTTGCCTCCTGGCTAATCTCTTAAAGGACAAACTGATTTAAAAAAAAAAAAAAAAAAAAAATTTAACGATTTATCTCGTGCTTGAAATTTTCTGATACAATTTTCATCTGCAGGCACCAACAATACTTTTAGCATGAAAATGTTAAAACTTCAGTCGAAGCTATAACAAATTTTGCTGACTATTATAAACTTGGCATTTGAAGTGTGTTTTCATAATTGACCTCTGGTAGTCAACACGTTAAAGAAAAATGTAAATTTTAATAAATGAAATAAAAACATATCCATTATATTTTAATATCTTCATCTTGCAGCTGATGATTGACATTTTTTTTTTTTAACCAATCACTGATGATTTTGCACTTACTATTTACAGCACAAATATCTCAAAATATAAACCACTAAATTCTAAAAGGACACAAATTGATTTGAATCTAGATCTCTTTCTATAGCATTAATAATAAATCAGCACCATGTGTTGGATTCTATTTAAACTACAGTAGGGAAACAGCAGCAGTGCTTTGGGTGTCCTATTTTGACAGCAAGGGTCAGAAAGCTTGTCTGATTAACCATTACTACAGACTAGTCAGTTTGATAACAAAACTATGCAAATAATGGTTTTTAAATTTCCAGAGCTCAAAACAAACTTTCCAAATAATCCGAGGACAGAGGAGCTCTGTTTCTTTGCTGAAGAATTCTTATATTCTAATACAAAGCAACCCCAAATCCTCCATTTCCCAGAAATAAGAAAAGCACCCCCACCTTCCCTACCAGAGAGATTGCAGTACCAGTGTTAATGATCTATTTGCTAAGCAATATCACTTGAAACAAGTGAGAGAAGAATCCACAAAAGCCACAGGACAATTTGGTCAAATTTGTTTATTTTTTCTTTAGAGAACACAAAAAAAAAAAAAAAAAAAAAAAAAAAAAAAAAAAAAAAAAAAAAAAAAAAAAGAGAGAGAGACATGAGACAAGCAACAACTCGTCCCCCACAGAAAAGAGAAAAAAGCAGTCACAGTCAACTATAGTTATTAGAACAATTCTTACTTGTAATCATCTTAAAACCATTCTATCACAGCATGATCCTTGCATAGGAGTCCAGTCACCTTTGGTTTATCAACAATGGAATCAGAAGTTAGATTTCCAAGTTGAGTGATTTTTGTTAGCACCCCAGTAAATTATGGCTGTTTGTGAAGATCTGTCAACACTTGGAGATATGGGAATTTGTCAGTGAAAAATTCAATGTTAGTGAATAAAACTGAAATGTTAATTTGTATTTAACCCAGGTTGGGATGTGGTACGTGGAGTCAAGTGAGATTTGACAATACATGGTAGACAAAATTGTTACAGAAACCCAGCTCTATGCAAATGAGTTTGTGAGAGAAAGAAAAAGGCTGTAAAATGGTGGTGGGCAAATTTTACAAAATTATAAAATATAGGAAAATTAAAACTTAAAAAAAAAAAAAATCAGATGATAGAAAATTGATGTTTAGTTAAAAATTGTTCAGAATAAAACTGATGGCCTTTTAGAAACAGCTTACAGCTAATCCTCAGCTTGGTTAAGCAATGGAATTTCTGGTTATCAGATAAATAACCAATTGAGTATTAAAACTTAAGAAAAAAAAAAAAAGGTTTTTAGAAGAGCTTTAAAGAAATAAAAAGGGAAGGTAAATTGTAGCACGCATCTCCAGTCAAATAAACTTGCTACAGAAAAACTGGTCTCCTTAAATTTGTAAATAGGAAAGACTTGACAGGTTTTCAACAGAAAGATTCAGTCTCCAACAAGTAGACATATTAAAGAGACTGGGTAAACAAAGAGCTTACACATTGAAGACAAGAAAAAAACCTGTTGCATACTAAGGGAGTTTAAAAAGAAAAAAAAAAACAAAAAAAAAACACAGCTTTTCTTCAATAATAGTTGTCAATTTGTTAAACTGAATTTTGGGGGTAGAGTGTTTGAATTATCTCTTGAATCAAATTTTTGGTTGAAAACCAAAACATGCATTATAAAGAAAAAGTTTACAATTATTATTTAAATGCCTTTTTTCCAAGTTATTTAACTGCTTTAAATCCCTAATCTTTAAGCCATGCTTGCATGTGCACATAAACAATTTGTGAACACCAGAATAGCTTACTTGATTTGTGCAGGGATCAATTTTTAACATCTGATAAGGATTTGTGAGTTTGTAATCAAAATATTTTAATTCAAAAGAAAGGATAAAAAGGATCTTACAAAAAAATAAAATAAGGAAAAAGATAAAAAGTTAAAATAAAAAAAAAAAAAATAAAAAAATAGTTGTGTGAAATTTTTGTTGGGATGAATTTTTATCCGATTTTCTGTGTGGCATGAGAGTTTTCTTGCTTGGTTATGCTTTTTTACACTGTAAAAATTCCAACTTAGAATTTTGCTTTCTTTCAATGTTTATTCACTTGAAGTCTAACCAAGTTGCTTGATTCCTCACTTGCACTCCAAGAAGGTGACTTATTAAAGAAAAGAGAACAATTTAGTAGCAGACAAGGGTTATAGCAGCTTGGGAGGCTCGAGCTGGTGTCTCACTGGCAGCACACTAACCACACTTGTGTGTAAAGGAAACAGCTAAGGAGAGAGAGGCCCTAACTGCAAACAATACGCACACACATAGGCAGGCATACATACATACATACATATATACGCACACACACTTTGTATGTGTGCATGAACATACACAACTGAATGTATACATAACACTTGTATACAACCACACAATTTTATATATATATATATAAAAATGTGTGTTTTTTTTTTTAAACAGATACACATTGGCAGCCACAAAGATATCATTCACAAAGATGATTTTCATCATCATTAAAAAAATTAATCATCATAATCATCACATCTTCTTCATCCTTATTATTATTATTATTATTCTCATCATCATCCTAGACGGTCAGGTCACAGGGTAGGGGGGAGGCCTGAAGTGAGGAGAGGGGCAGTTTATAGACAAGTGATTCTCATCCACACTGGCCCCTTTTTCTCTCTTTCTTTCTCTCTCCCCAACTGCATACACACTTCCTCCCTCCCTGAATATCCAAACATTTTTGAGCCCAGCCCCAACATCAGCAGCAGTCAGTCTTTTCTCATCAGAATGGGTTACCTGCTGATTTGAAAATAAGACCAAACGAAAGAAAATCCGTGAGGGGTCTTTTTTTGGGGGGAGGAAAAAAAAAAAAAAACAATAGAAAAGTAATTTAATGTTTGTCTGAAGAACAAAGGATATTGGATGAAGAAGAAGGAATTTCAGGGTCATCTTTTCAAGAGAGCCACACGTGGTCACAGAAGCTGGACAGAGGCTGTGCCAGAGGGGATTTTTTCTTTTCTTCTTTTGAGGCCGGGGGGGGAGGGGAGAGAGTTTTTAGTGTTTCATTCTTAATATAGAAGATACCAGATTTTTGTTTTTAAACCTGTCTTTTCAGATATTTTTTTTAATTTTTAAAATATTTAAGTCATCCTAATGTCACAGATGTGTCTGGGCAAAGATGAAACAAAGAAAGAAAGAAATTGTTTTTTGTTTTCCACCTGACTTTGTATTATGAATACAAATTTAAAAATAACTTCTCAAAACATTATCCATTCAAGGTCATAAAAGAAAAAACAGTTTTCATCAAAGCAGAAAATCCAGGAAGTCAAGGAGTCACACCTCAATTATACAAATGTAATAGAAAGTTACATGGTAGAGATGTCTTTGGTCACATGAAATCATGCCAGAAATTGTTCTTTAAAAAAAAGAGGAAAGTGCCTTTGGTTAAAGGATTTTCAAATTTGATTTCTGCTCTTGATTTAAAAATAGACAAAATGGATTTTTTATTTTATGCTACAACCTAAAGATTAATGTTTTTGTAAATTAAAGTTGTATTCAAGGTATGAAGCCAGGCTTAAAAGAAGAAGAAAAAAAAATCAATTTCTTTTTCTCCCATTTATTCATCTTTGTTGACTGTAATCCCATTGAGCACCTGGTGGTCTGTGCCATTTTCCATCCGAGCAGCTAGCATCTTCTGCCGTACTTCAAATACTTCTTGAATAGCTTTACGGAAGCACAGAAAATTATAATTGATGATACCTAGAAAAAAAAAAAATAAATAAATAAAATAAATGCAAGTTAAAAAAAAAATGTAAAAACAAATACAATAAAATTTAATTCCAAAAGAAGTAATAATATCCATCAGGTTAAGATTTTAAACTTTTTCCCCCCCTTGTCTTTTCTAAAAACAGAAGGAAAGAAAGGAGGATAGTTATGTATAATAAAATTCTCAAAATAAAATTCTCAAAATAAAATTCTCAAAATAAAATTCTCAAAATAAAATTCTCAAAATAAAATTCTCAAAATAAAATTCTCAAAATAAAATTCTCAAAATAAAATTCTCAAAATAAAATTCTCAAAATAAAATTCTCAAAATAAAATTCTCAAAATAAAATTCTCAAAATAAAATTCTCAAAATAAAATTCTCAAAATTCTCAAAATAAAATTCTCAAAATAAAATTCTCAAAATAAAATTCTCAAAATAAAATTCTCAAAATAAAATTCTCAAAATAAAATTCTCAAAATAAAATTCTCAAAATAAAATTCTCAAAATAAAATTCTCAAAATAAAATTCTCAAAATAAAATTCTCAAAATAAAATTCTCAAAATAAAATTCTCAAAATAAAATTCTCAAAATAAAATTCAAATTTGTTTTAGTAATTTAAAACCAACACACAAAAGATTTTCCTATTTCTTTTTTCTTCATCCTTTTTTAGATGGGGTCTGCCAATTATCTTGTTAACCTAAACCACTATTGAGTATTAATTTATTTCAGGTCCATTTTTAAAGACGTTTTTATTGTTCCCATTCTGCCCTGTTTCAGACGGCATTGTTAAATGTAAGTTATTTAGTGTGTAACTAAAAAACAACAAACTTTTTTTGTTGATACATATATTAGGTTGAAACGTTTGAGGTGTTTTTCAATAGGTAGTGTTTGAACGCATGATTTCATTTCACACATAACCAAAATTTAAGGCATACATATTCTGAAAGGTGGAACTTTAACACATATTGTTATGATTCATAGACAGATTTTGAATTTAAACTATTTTTATTTTCATTAATGAAAAGAAAATGAAACATTTTCAGCTTTTGATGCTCTCATTTCTGAAAAGAAAAAAAAAATGCTGCATAAAGTGTTTTTAATATATATATATATATATATATATATATATACACTTAATAAAATCAGTCAATAATTATTTATAACAGGACTCATGCATGCAATTACAAGTAATCCATAATAATATTAATTTTGAAATCATATTTATTTTTGGCATGTGAATTTTTTGAAACTGTTTCTAAATCTTTGATTGTCTTTCAATCATTCCACCTCACCGTTTGGAAGCCACTGGTATAGGAGTAACCTGTCAAGGAAGTTTAACATTTTGTTCTGTGTTATCAAAGACATTCATTATGATCTAGCTAATATGATTTTTGTAGGCAACTGAAATAAATTGTTTGCAATTATCAAATTCTACACAAATCTAAACAACTTACAGGTTATTATAACAAAAAAAAAAAAATGTTCTTTGGTATACAGGAGAGTAAACCACACCAACTCAGCATTTGTTAAATACACAAATGTTTCAATATTAAAAGGGAATTAGGCTTCCAAACTATCAAACATTTTTATGAACTAACAATTAACAACCACGGGCCATCATCAAAGTTAAAAATCCATTTTCTACCAGCAATTCACAAATGATCAGTTTGGTAGTTTTGGTCTGTCAAGGTGGGTAAATCGTTTCTCCTGTCACTAATACTTAAAAAGGATAGGGTAGGTTTGGTTTATTTTATGGCATATTTTTCCAAAGATGTATTGCTGGTATTTTTACTATAAAAACCTAGTTTTACACTTTGATAGTGTTTTGATGCCAGTTTGTTTTGTTTTACGGCATATCAACCTCAATGGGTTATTTAATGCCAACAAAAACATAATCAGCAATAAAAATTTTCTTCAAAAATCTATTTCTGGGAATATTTTTCCTTGAAGAAATCTATAGCTGGTCATATCTTTTCCAAAGAATGTAGAGTCGTTTGTATTGCTGGTATTTTTTAAAGTATTGCTGATAATAATTTTTCTTTCAAAAATTATTGCTGGTAATAATTTTTTTATTACAAAGTATTTCTGGTATTAAAACCTATTTTTACACAAGTTTGGTTTGGTTTGTTTTACGGCATATCAACAACAATGGGTTATTTAATGCCGACAAAATTTGCTTTTTTTTTCAAAAATGTATAGCTGGTAATTTTTTCAGAAATGTATAGTTGGTAATATTTTTTTTAAAAAAAATGTATGGTTTGGTTTGTTTTGTTTTGTGGCATATTAATCTCAATGGGTTATTTAATGCTGACAAGATTTTTATTTCTGGTAATATTTTCTTATTTCAAATATTTATTGTTGATACTAATTTTTTTAAGAGTATTTCTGGTATTAAAATCTATTTTTACACTTTCATAACGTTTTGAGTCAGGTTGTGGGGTCAATTATTTGACCATAGCTGGGACCTTAAATAGGTGCTACCACCCCGGGTCGGAGTGGACCTGGGAACACCAGCAATTAAGAGGTGGTTTCATGCTCCTCAAAATCTCCTGATCAGAGGCCTTGCTGCTGGACATAGTTTATCGTCTTACCTAGGACATGGATGTAGTTTAGATGCCAGTTTGGGGGTCAACTATTTGCCCATAGGTGGAACCCTAACAGGTCCTTTCACCCCAGGTCAGGGTGGACCTAGGAAAACATTAAACACTGCAGACTAAGAGGTGGTTCCATGCATCTCAAAACCTCCTGATCAGAGGCCTTGCTGCCAGATGTAGCTTATCATCATACCCATGACAGCTTAAAATAGTATAGAAATTATAGCAGAGTGCTTTGTCTCCATGCTCAATCCTACCGCTCAGTTATTATGACATGTCAGTCACAATATATCTGGTAATATAACAAGATCATATGTAGAGTTTGGTAGAAGAAAACCAAAACAAAATTCAGGTTGATTTGCCTCAGATTTTTTCAAAGATGGGATTTATTTGTTAATATCCAGGAAGAGCAGAAAGTAAATTTTAACAAACTGACATTTTGTTTTTTTTTTTGCTTTACAATTTCATATGACTTGCATGCAGTTCATGAAGACAGTTTTATAAGGAGTTTTACAATTGTAATTACTTTTATTGATAGTTTTCTTTTTTATCAAGTTATATCCGCCAAAAATGTCCATTTTTCTTGCTTTATGTTTGCAAACATATTTGATAAGTAAGATCTTGACAAACCATTAAAAATCTCTTCCACCACTGGGATGACCTAAAATTATCAGACAACAGAAAAAAACAAAAAAACAAACTTACCCTGTTTAACAAAGTTATCCTCCCGCAAGATACACACCAAGGCCAGGTATTTGTTGACTTCTCGCAAGTACAACACTGTAGTGTTGTTTAGCTTGATGATGGATGCAGACTTGTCATCAAACGCATTCAGTTCATTGTCATCCTGCAACCTGCACAATGGAAAACATGCAATTGTACATAAAGTTAGTCATATTTGTATTAATTCCTGACTATCCCCTACAGCATTTTCAATGCATTTCTATAGAAGACTGATTAACAATACATTTATATTATATATTTAATAAACATTTTCTAATAGTAACACTTACATTAATTTCTGACCACTGACAATACATTTTTTCAATGATTTTCAATGTACAACTTACCATGAAGAAAGACATCAAGTCAAAAATTGCAAACTTTGATGCTTTTCCAAATTCTTCCATGGTATTAACATTCCAAACAAAATACCACAGCAAAACCATTTTCAATAATTCAAGTTTATCATGTCATTTTATATATGGGGGATTCGTTTTTTCATGGCTTATCAAAAGTTGAAATACATTTTGGATTATAGGAGATTGTTTACAGTATCCAGTGTTCTCAAGAAGTCAGCCATCTAAGTACAGACCGGCTTGACACTGCTTAAATTCAGTGATCAAACAAGAACCAGTGTTTTCTCATTCAATATTGAATCACAAGAGTAAATCAAAGTTTTGGCATTTACTTAATGAAGCATTGTATAAACAGTTATTAAATAATTGATAAATAAATGAGGAATGCTAGCAATAATCCAGAGAGGATATTTGACTCAAAAAATTGATTGAAAGGATTTTGTTATTTGTGATAATTGTATGGCTGTCTACCTCTCTGACTATTTGAGAAATTATCTAACTGCTTATTGAAACAAGTAAATAAGTCAAAACAACCAATGGTTTAATATTCTGACATTTGAACATCAATGGATTTTAGTTATTTCTTGATTTATCTTTATATTTTTGAGAGTTCCACTGATGTCAGTAAATATCATGAAATGTTTGCATCATTAAAAAGAGGCCTTACCCATATATACAAGATATGTCGAGGACAACATCAATCATATCACAACACAATTCGTATGACTGCATATCAACAGGGGAGCTGTCCGTAGCAATGTAGATCTTGCTAACCACATCAAACAGGAAAGCTTTTTCAATACCAGAATTCTGAAATAGCATAAAAACGTAAAATCTAGTCAAGAAAACATTTCACTAATAATTTTTGTTGTGGTTATAAAATGGTTGATTTGTGCGAAAAAGCAGTTATCTCCCATTTATTTGATCATTCAAAAGAGATTATTATTATTATTCACAGACGATGACTACAAAAATTATTGTACTCAAAATTAAATTCATAACCAAAAATTAATTAGTGGAAAAAGAATTAGGGAAATACTTTTTTAAATTCAGTTGAGGTAATTTATTAAATAAAAAAAGAATAAGAAAAAATTTAGAAATTATCTTGGAAATCTCAAACTAATAATTTTACAAATGAAAATATTCTGGTCACAGTGGTTGGTTTGCAATCAATCACATTCCTAATTAGGAAGTTTTAGCAACTTTAAAAAAATTCAATATCTTAATAATTAAGATCTTGTTATTTTGATCAAGATAACAAATAAACAACTAGAGGAAAATTATTCTTTTTATTGTTACTGTATGGTCAATTCATTCTTCAGTAAACTTTCAAGTGTACAATTCATAAAGATCACAGAAAATGGTGAGGAATGGGCCAGAATGGAGAATATATTGATTGATTCAAGTCATTGTCAGTAAGAAGCCACATGGACCAAATTCATTGACTATTTTTTTTCTTTTTTTTTTTACTTTTTGGTATCATAAGGATGGTCTCTAATTCTTTGAAAAACAAGAGAAAAATTGATACTAGCTGATTCATTGGCTGATAATATTTGGCTGATAATTGGCTGTCTTGAATGTTCATCTTGAATTAGCACACAACCAACCTGGAAAAGTACACACCATTGAAGAAAAAAAAAAAAAAAAAAAAAAAAAAAAAAAAACTTTTTATAAACCTAATTAATATTTGCTAAAAAAAAAAAAAAAAAAAAAAAAAAAAAAAAAAAAAGCTTGATGAAGCATTTCAAGAGTATAGATCATTGTTTCCCACATGCTGTGGTACACCTCACAGGTGAGATGGAAGAGGATAGCAGGTGAGACAGAATGATTGAAATACAATCAAAGATTTAGAAAAAAAAAAAATCATAAGCCAGAAATAAATAGGATTTCAAAATTTAAAATATTATGGATTACTTTTAATTGTATGCATGAGTCCCAGAAGGGTTCCCACAGGTCTGTGTAAAAAAAAAAAATTCCAAGACTTTTCCAGGATTATGTTTCAAGGACTGACACCGACACACACACACAAAGTGAATGGTCATCAATTTCAAAAACACAAACTCTGATTTATCTCTTAATAGTTTGACAGATGAGATGTTCAAAGAAAAACTACTACTATTTATGCCAGATGAAAGCAGTGAAGAAATCCAAGTGTTGAAGGCTAAAACAACTGAATGCAGACTTGGTTATGTTACACATTTTGTATAGCATTCTACAGTTGAAGTTCTACTACACTTAAAAATGTTGAATTACACACTTTAATTCTTACTGCTACACATTTCAGCTGTCTAAACTAATCAGGATTTGTGAATGTCACGAAAATTTCCTGTGAAGTATAATGGTTTTAATGAACAGAACTATAAATAGAAATTTTCACAAAAAGACGACACATTTTAGCTACCCCTACTAATCATGGCTTTCATTGCACAGAACACAATGATGTTAACACTTTTTCAGTTCATCTAGTTTAGTATTCAGCTCCTCTTCCAATTTTGATATCTCTATGAATTTGTCCTTTGCAGATCTTCATATGACATTGGACTTTGTGATAAATGAGTCTCTGCATAGCTGCCAGCTAACTTGAGCAAATCTTGTGTGCAACTTTCAAGTTTGTTTTTTGGTCTTCAGTTCTTCAATCTCCATAAGCATGGATTTCCGCTCTTGTCCAGCTGCTTTTTCCTGCCTTTTCTTCTCAGCCAGAAAAGTATTGGTTGTATGTTGTTCTGGCACAGGAAGCACTGCAGAGAAGGGATTTAGTCATGGGAACATTTCCAGAACCTCCAACTATGGCCAAATAGTCTGTGATAATACACTATGCAACCAGTCTTCCTGCTTCATATTATCAGTGGAAATTTCCTTATTGACTGAGAAATCTCTCTCTACTGGAGACTGCCCATGAGAGAGTACCAACAATCTGTGAACAACTTTCCAGTTTTTGATATTCTTTGTTGCTAAGCAAAGAGCAGAACAAAGTGTCCAGACTGTCTTCATGCTTGCTGAAATTCTTGAAAGCAATATTTCCAGCAGCTTCCTCCACAAACTCTTTGTACTGACTAATGATGTCATCATAATCAGAATGTTTTCTATCCATCATGTGGGAAAGACATCTTTTTAGACAATTTTCTGTGGCAATTTTTTTTTTCACAAATGGATCCAGGGTTCAGCCATGCAACTGACCTTACAAGAGGGTATCTAAGGGGAGACTTTACCAGAAGTTTCTCAATTATGGTGATGAACATTGTTGCAGTTTTGAAATCAAAACAGATCTTTTTGTTGACATTTCCTTTTTTGGATAAATTTTGCATCGCCATATCTACCAGAAATCTACACTCAGTCTTTGCAGTATCTCTATGCATGTTTGGGTTTGACAAAATTCTTACAAAATCATTCAGTTTGGAAAATGTAATTATCTTTGTCGTGTACTCTTCCTTCACAAATTTTAACAGTTTCAGGATCACGCTAAAAAGATCTGCAAGGAAAGGAAGCAATGATTTACCACAGATATTTTATCAGAAATAGTTCAATGTCTTTTGAAACACAAAAACTGGCATTTTCACTGGAAATAAAATGTCATTCACATTTGACAGACTTGATCTGGGACATTTTTCTGTTTTTTTTTTTTTTTTAATTAATTTAAAATTTTGATGACATCTAGCCAAATGTCTGAGTCATTCACATTTTAGATAAATGTAGTTTACACATCGATACACATTGACATGACACATGTAAAGTATTTATTTTTTCAGCATAAACTCACCCACCACTGACTAAAGATCAAAAGGACTTTTTACTTTTGAAATTGACATCTATATAATTTCTTCAGTTGTTCAAATTTCAAAAACACTAAATTTTGTATTTTATTAGTGTAAAATAATTTATCATTTTCCTACAAATTCAATGAGTATGAATTTATCTTTAATGGAGTTGTTTGTCTCTGAGGCCTTTTATTTTTGTTTCTTCCTCTTGTTGAATGAAGGTAGAAGCTAGGAAAAGACATAAGAATTGATAACAGGGATAGGTGGGCAGCCTAATTTAGAAAATTCCAGAACTTTTCAAAGACTTTTGGGGTTACTGCTGTTTTTCCAGGACTTTTTAAAACCTAAAAAAAGGGCCCTGTCAATTTTGCAGGACTTTTCAAGGTTTCCAAGACCTGTACGAACCCTGTCCCAGTAGTTATAAATAATTATTGACAGATTTTATCATTGTGATATTTTTGCATTATATCAAGTATTAAGAATATAGTAACTACAGTCTGCAAAATGGAGGAGAGATAGTTATCAATGATAATGTTCTGACTTTCAATCCACAATTAAATCCCTTTAACCCTCTCTGTTTTTTATTTTTAAATATACTTTTTAACACATAAAATTTGGTGAGGTGTGAGCAAATTTTAATTCCAAAAATGTAGCCCAGAGAAAAAAAAAGTTTGGAAACTACTGGTCTAGATAGCAAGTTTCATGCAAAATTTGATGCAGGTAAATTGCACAAATATGTCAGTCATCATAAGGATCATAGAGGCAATTCAAGACAATATTACAGGAGAACCTTGTGTAATAATTGAACATTGGTAGATATCAAAACCCATTGATAGACAGGCTGGGTACCAATGAGTATTAGCGATGTGTGCAGAATCAATCTGTACAGGCCAGAAATTTGCAATACCAGCCATTTCTAATTATCCTTTTCAGAACAGTAAAAGCAACAAAATGAATGAATTCAATAATCTGAAGAATTCTTATAAAGATAAGAATTCTTCTTGGAAAAAAAAAAAAGAAAAAAGTTACTTACAGAAATGAGCATATTTAGTAAATTTTCCAGGGTTGGTAGTTGAGGTATCAACTTCTGCACGACTTTGCTGAAAGCTTCAAATATTGAATGGTCATAGATACTGGTCAAGTAAAAGCTGAAGAACAAAATAAAATAGTTAAGGATGTTAGAAACAGTAAAAACAACAGTTTGGTACTAATTGGGTTAAATGTTTATTACTAATTAAACTAATGAAAATAGTTTTTGAAATAATAAGAAATAGTTTCACAAGTCATTTGTAACAAGTTAAAATTGAACAGCTTTGCATGGTAATGAATTAAATGTGTCCAACATTTTTTATTAAAATATAAAACTGTTTTCTACTGTACATTCAGTAGAATTTTCAAAATAGAGGGAGCTGGGAACTTCTGCTCTCTCTCTCACACTTACAGAGATGCAGTACTAATTTCAACTCAGAACTAAGGGTTAGGGTTTTTAAATTGAGTTGAAATTAGTTTCATCACGCCACTTTATTGTTGATTAAAAGTATATAAACTAAACTTGCCACAATAAATTAACTCTTGCATGTAAGTTTCTAGTGCTAGGGTCTTTGTAGCTCCACATGGAAGATGTAGGTTGAAATAAATTGAAATAATGACTAAATAAGAAGCAAATTTTTCACTGTGTTTTTCAAAAGCAGGCATTTTCATATTGGTATTGCCAAAGATTTGGTAAAAAATGAGCATACATTGAGAAAAAAAAAACAAAAGGCCCCAAATTTAATAAAAACAAAGTTTTATCATCAAAGTCTTTAGTTTATTATTAAGATCAAAAGGATATTTTTATGTAAAAATTCTTTTTCTGAATCCTTTTCAGAACCTTCAAAATTTTGGTGTAAAATCTTTGTTTTTCCAGTGTCAATGTTGTGCCATAAATTTGTATGGATAATTTTAGTGTTTTTTTGCTGTGCAAAATGCAGCAATTTAGAAATTCTAGCAAAAATCAAATAATTGTCGGATTTTAATCAAATTCTCAGGACTTATTCACAAATGAAGTAATATTTTTCTTTTCTTTTTTGAGAAAATTTGTAATTTTTTTTTTTAAAATCTGTTAATCTACACTTATTTAATTTTATAAAATTGAGATATTCTTTTTTGTAGCACTTAATGTTTATATTACTTATAAGGACAAGTCGTCTGAGAACCTTTAGCACCCTACATCATTAATTCTCCTTCCGCTCAAATACAAACAGCAGTAGCCTTGATCTCAATTTAAGTCAAGGCTGTTTTTTTTTTTTTGCTGTTGCTATATCAGGATGTGACAACATAATCGTTAAATTTAAATATACTGTTATTTGTCAATTGGATTCAACTGCAATGGCAGGATAAGTGCTTTCCCTAGTAAATGAAGTTGCCTAAACAGTGTTTAAAGTTAAATCATGAAATTCTTTTGGTTAAACAGGACACCCAGTTACAGAAAATCTGCAATAAAGCTAAGACATTATTTAGTTAGAAAAGGTTTTATGTATAAAATATATTATAGACACTACTGTCTTATGAAAAACAAATTTTCTATTCTAATTTTTACAAGTATTTAAAAATTAGAATAATTTATAAACTTTTAATTCTTAAAATTCTGTATTAATTTGTAATCATCAAGTGATATTTTTATTAAATTAAGACTGTATTTACTAATCATTAATGGAGAAGCTCACTACAATTCAATGACCTCCAATATTTTTTTAAAATTTCAAATTTATTTTATGCGTGTATAAACGTGTCAATTTTTATAAACACAGATGTACAAACACAACATTGTTAGAAATTAAAAGCATTAACTATAATAATGTTGAAGAAATTTACTGGTAATTTTCTAACATTTCCTCAACAAGCATTTTCATAAGTTAGACAATAAAGCCAAAGTACTGAAAATTCAATAAAATATTAGATCAAATTGATCAAGTCATTTTTCTGTGGCTTATCAACCCTTTGCAGGTTATTTAAAACCAGAAAATATTTTATGATTGTAAGAATTTTTTTTTTTTTAGATAATGGTTTAGTTATACAATTCTTGCTAAATAACCCATAGCTGGGGGAGAAAAAGTGGATTCATACTTTTCTCCAGAAGCATATTTGCATGTAAGTGAATATAACAAACCCAACGGGAATTGGAACTTGCCTCTCCAATTAACAATTCCAAGCCATTATCCATTACACTACCCACACATCCAAGTTTATAGCACCTGGAATTCCCCAGTGGTCACCCATCTCAGTACTAATCAGGTTTAACTTTAGTGATCATATGAGCTGGTGTTTCAACATGATGCAGCTGTAAGCCTTACATTTTCAAGATTACCAAGTAGTTTAAAAAAAAAATTAAAAAAAAATAATTATAGAAAAAAAAGGTGCTCACACTATATTCAAGCTTTTGTTACAGTTATGTCCCCCTCAGGAAAAAAAAAATAAAAAAATTCCCAAACATAAGTCTATAGAGTTGTCAACACCTCATAAAAAAAACTCAGCTCTGCGTAAAAAAATGCTTTTCTTTGATATTTTGAACTAAAAGTAATATTTGTTCCAAATCAGATTAAACTTTAAATCAGTTAATCTTTCCCAAAGTTTCAGAAAAAGTATATTTTATTTTTGGAAGAATTTTTTTTTTTTTTAAAGAATTATGTTGTGTTGACAGATTTGGAGGGGAAAAAAAATAAAAAAATAAAAAACAAAAAAAAAAAATAAAAAAATAAAGTATTTTGGTCATTGGAAATATTAAATTTAATCTATTAACTTGAAATTAAAACTAAAATAAAAGCTTCAAGAAAGATTTTTCATTTTTAAAAATGCATTTTAAACCTTAGATATCACTTTTGTTTGGATGTACCTAAATTGTCAATTTACACATTAACTTATATGAAGGTGGCACTAAGTGGAATGAAAGCTTACTTAACTTAGAGAAATAATTTTCAGTATTTAAATTTTTTTTTCTATGATTACAAAAAACTAGTAACTGTTTAATTTTTAATCTTAAATTCCCATTAAAATTGTTCTTTCAATTGGAATAATATCAACCAAACATTGTGTACCTGAGGTAAATCCCTTCAAACCCTGCATCCACGAGATCATCATTTGCTCGCTGATGAATATCACGTTGGGACTCAATTTTTTGGTCATCAGACAGTCCATCCACTTTATGAATGAACACTTCAAATTTTATGTCTTGGTTAATTTTATGTGCCCGGGTTACAGTCATGTTGAGCTTATCAAGAGCTTCCACGTAGTCATCCTTAAAGGAAAATAAAGAAAAAATAAAATCAAGACATGCAAGAGATATGTACAATTTCTACAACAACGCTATTTTAAACGATATTCATTTTTGCCCCTATCATAATTCATGCAGAATTGCCTCCCTTGACAAAAAGCGTCAGCGCATGTGATACTTAGTAAAATATGCTATTAGTTTGAAGAAAAAAAAATTATTTCAATACTAAAATGTAAGCAGTCTAGAATTTGAACGTAATATTTTGGTAAATACCATCAAATGAGCAGCTTTATATTTTAGGGTATTTAAAAAATTACATTAACAAATAGAAATTTTACAACTTGACTTCCATGACTATTTTTCTTACTTTCATTAAACAAATTTCTATTCTAAAAAGCAGTAAGCAATTTATGACAATGTTCAGGTTACTCATGCTTTTAAGTTAGCAATACTTTTAATCTTAGCTTATTGAGTCTTGTTTTAAAATATATAAACTAGAAGTCATAAAGTAAAACTCTATTCTAACCTTTATTTTGATAACCGTTTTGATGAGGTTATATTTTAGCCAATAGATTCTAGAAACCCACTTATTTAATCCTGATTTTATAGTCTTTATTCAGAAACAAGAGACAGAAAAAAATAGAATGGATTTTTGGAAAGATAAAATCTAAATATGACAAGCATTCACAAAATTCATCATACAAGACAAGAAAACTCACTAGAAAGCATAACTTTCTTTTCTTTTTTTAAACCATACTTTTGAGAACAAAACAGATTTGAAATATATAACATCTTTAATGATTCCTAAAGAAAAAAACAGTTCATTTTACAGTTTGGAAATTACTTTGCCAACCTAGAAACTTTAGAGTCCAGTTTATTTATTCCATCAAAGAATTAGATGTTAAATTCTTACATTTAATGATGAATTATATTAAATAATGAAAGATGCATTAATATAGCAGTAACAAAATTGAACACTTGACTAAAAGAAAGAAGGATTTTAAATTAAAATCACTAGTCCTTTCTGTTAAGAACTTATTATGTAAGCCATTTAGTAAATTCTACACTTACCAGTTTTAGTCATTAGTTTTAAAACTATCAAGTTTCAAGATTAGACATTTTTATGGAAAAATTAATTCAGTTGCAAATATACATGCACAAAAAAAAAATAAAAAAAAAAATAAAAAGGTATTTCTCCAAGGATCTTTCTTTTTGTTCATTGAAAGAATAAAGTTTTCCAATTTAATGAGAACTCTTCAACCAGCCAAAGTGAAAACAACAATATTGTCCATGACTAGCACACAAGTGACAAGGAATTGAATAAGCAGATATTTCCAACATTTGACAAGCTCTTCTTAAAGAAGAGAGAATATAAACCATAAACTAATGAAGTGAGGAGGAAAAGAAATAAACAAAGCATTTTTTTACCTGTGCATCAATGACAAAAATCAAGGCACCACAACCACCAAATATTTTCACAGCATCAAAAGTAGCATCAAAGAAATCGATATGGCCTGGCAGATCCCACACTTGGAATTGTACAAAGGAACTGTTTGAAATGTCTACAAAGACATGCAAAACAAAAAAAAAGTTTTAATAAACATGTATCCAGTATTTTCAAAATATATTTTTAGTGTATACATGCCATATTTATAATCAGATTTTAAAAAGTTTAATTTGGAGTTAGTTTCCTAATACATTCTCTTAAAATATTAACATTGTAAAATTATTATAAAAAACAATGAAAATGCTAAAATGAAATCAATGCTTGTTTTTTTTTTTTTTTTCTCTATCAAGTCAGTGTGAACACTCTTCCTTTAGACTGGGATTTGAACTCTACTGTCTATGGTCCTCGTGCTGTAGTTATTGGATTGACAGATGGCATATGTCAAGATGTTATTCCTTAGCTTAAAATAAATTAACATTTTAAGAAACTGATTGACAAAAAGGCTTGACACTGGAGATGGGCTCACCTTTCCATCATCATTCTTATAGATAATGTCTGCATGTGGCCAACAAACTGATCCATCTGAATTTTCCTCTTAAATTCATTACTTGATGCCATCCACGAAATTACAAAATTTGTTAATAATTCAAAACTATATAAAGTGCTTCATCTGAATAAGAGCAGAAATTATTAAAATAGAAATTGGAAAGAGAAGATACAAATGATTAAAAAAAGAAACATTGTGTATATAAACATTCGTGATAGTGAATTTTTGCTAATAGATTGCAGAAGAGAAAACAGCTTTATGAACAGAGGCTGTAAAATACCACCTGTCCAACAAATCTGACCAAACTTAAATATTTTGTGGGGGGGGAAGATATTCCAAGTTGGGCTGATAAATTATTAGCACTTAATTATATCAATAACAAATTGAAAGCTCATTGTGGTGCTTTCCTTTTTATTTGCTAATTTCCATAAACATTATGAAGACAGAAAAGTTAATGCACAAAAGTCAAATATTAAAAATGATAAATTGGAAGGTTGCATCAAAATAGTGTTTGCCTACACATTAAGGGGGATCTGTGTTTATTTACATAGTCTATGAATTCTAATATGTATATACTATAAAGAAACTATCTAAAAGAAAATCTAAATTTTCAAATGGTTGAATTTAGCACAAAAATCACTCCAGCTAAATTTGCAATGTATAAAAGTCACTGTGTGAATTGGATCTAAATTAAAAACCAAGGATAATTTATTAAAATATTTCAGTCACTAAAGTGCATTTATCACATGATAAACAAAAACATCAATAACACTATTTTATAAACATACACAAACTCCTTTATTCCAGCATTAATATGTATAAAATTGAACACATTACCAAATGGCAAAACATACTTTCCATATAGCCATAACCATTTTTGTTAAAAATATAAATCAGCCTTGATGCACTCACTGCATAAGGAAAAAAATTACTCAAAAACAAAGCACTCACCATCTTTAACTATTTTATTGGTACTCTCAAGAAATAAGGTTTCATTGGGAGACACTTTATGGAATACAACTTTTTGTATTGAAGACTTCCCACTCCTGAAAAAGAACCAAAGAAAAAGAACAGAGTCAATCAGAAAGAAATGATTTTACAAAGATTTGAAGCAAATTTCTCAGGTATTAGGGAAACTCTAAGCAGAGAAAGATTGGTTACCTTCGTAGACCCATCAGCAGGATGCGAGGCTTTTCATCAGAGCTGGAACCCACGGCTTCATTTTCCTGGTCAACAGTGCCATATCCAAAGTCCTGGAATGAGCCAACCATAAAATCTCCTCCAGCCTCATCTTCATAGGACTAGAAAGAGAAAAACAATAACAATTTCACAAAGTAAACAACCAAAATAAAAATATTTGTTCACCAAAATAAAGTACTTCTTACTCATCTCAAATAGAATTGTTTTTATGTAAAAGAAAATGTAAGGTATCTGTCATGACAAACTTTGAACATCTACTTAATATGGTCATTTTAAAATTGGACCAATAGAGTACCATCTTTGACTTAAGGATGATGGTACATAGAGAATTATCATGCAGAAAATATAGAAAAAAAAGTTTCTTAAAGAGATATTGGCAGAAAGGGACATAAATGATATGGTGTAACAAAGAGATAATAGAAAATTATTGCGTATTCAGTGTTTCTCACTTGATTTTAGTGATTGAAAGACTTATTCTTACAAACTTATTTTTTTATTAAAATTAAGTATTATAATAATAACAATAATTATTATTATTTCTGATTCTAACCAGATTCTGTGCAAGAAAAAAAAAAAAAAAAACTTATCCAATAATTTTATAATTTTTTAGTTTATATTTCATAAATTGCTTTGAACTATCACTGAATAGAATTCAAATTCACTTTGATTAGTCGGAAAGAAATCATTTTTCAAAGTCTACAATTTAAAACAATACAACATCAGTTTTTCTAAAACATTAGCTATGTTAATTTTTCATTATATGGCCTGATGAATTTTCTAGTTATTTTCATAACTTCAAGCTGAAAATTTGAGATTCATCATAAAACTTTATTGATAAAAAATAATTTGTCAAAAATTACAAGCTTATAAATTAATCCCAATTATTTTTTCTAACAATTTATTTTTTCCATATGCAAATGAATTTCTCCACTATTTTTCCAGTAGTTTATAAATATTGAGGTATTACAATTGTCAGTTTTTAATTTGTGCCTGATGATTGCTATGTGCTTGAAATGGTAAGGAACAAATGTATATTGATTTTTAGTGACTATAGACCAAGTGAGGGGAACACTCTTAAAGTAATACCTCCTAATTATTTCTTAAAAAAAATAAAAAAATAAAAAATAAAAAAAAGAAGACTACAGATACAGTGAGTACAAGAACCCTATTGGATAGAGCAAGTTTCACTTTCTTCCATAGTCACAATGTTTATGTATTTTCATCAGCAATGAGAAAAAAAAAAAATTAAAGGAAGCATAATGCATTCATAAAAATTTTTCATCAGCAGAGGCAACACACATTTTCACACACATCACTTTTGCCAATGCTGAAATGTATTAACAACTGCCTGTGTTCATATACACTATTTGGTCTGTAAATGAATGTCAATGGTGCAATTTTTTTGATGCACAGAGAAATTCAGTGATACACACCAGCTTCATATGCACTGATATGAGATGTCATTTTGCCAGCTGCCACAAGGTGAAATAAAAACTAGATTGGTATTAAGGCCAGCAACATCCATCTATGAGATGCCACTGACCAGCATAAAATCAAAATAGGAAGTATTACTTTTGAAAGAAAGAGAAAAAAAACCCAAAAAACATTAATGTGTTATGAGCCCAAAAGTAAGTTCAAGTGTATTCATCCAACTAATCACACAATGCATTCGAAATATTACCATATATTGATACAAGAAAGACTGGCCAGTTAAGTTAAAAGATAAAACCTTTTGTGACAAGAACATTAGGTTACCATAAATCATATTCTATTAGAAATAATAGAATGGCATATCAATGCAAGCAGAAGGGTTATTCTGTTTTGAGTTAGAGGTTTATGGGCATTCAGAGGGGGGAATTTAGACTATTAATATTATTACCAAGCAACTGTAAAAACAGGCCTCTTAAAACATACATATGCATACACACAAACTTGCCCAAAAGAATACTGTGTAGAGATATAAAGGCAAAATATACTTTGCTAAAGAAAAAAAAAAGAAAAGAAAAAAACAGTCAATCATTGTTGGTACCCAGAGTGGATTGTCCTACTCTTTCCATATTCCCTTACTCCTCTCTGGTGGCAGTGACGGAGATTGCTGTGAAGGTCCAGCCTACTCCTGAAGAGTTGTGAGCAGGAGTCACAGAAGAGTGTGGGTGGTGGACAGGCCCTCCTGACAGCACGTCGCAGATCCTCTTCATATTGATGGTATGACTTGCTCTGTCCACCCTGAAATAGTCCTACACCAGGAAAGCCAATTTGCAGCAATAGTTTCCCAGGTCTCAGGGATGTTTTCAACTGATCCTTGAAGCATTGTTTTGGGCCTCTTAAGTTCTCCAAGCAGGATGATATGTGGGAGTCAAGTGGGACGCATTCTGGACATGTAGACCCACCCAGTATAGAGCAACAAATCAGATTTTTTCAACACGTTACAAGACTTGTCAATATTACAAATTAAGTCATGACAAAATTACAGAGAAATTTAACTGACCAATTATTTAGTTATATTTGTACAATATCTATAATTTTTTTTTTTTTTTTTTTTTTTTACACTGGATCTAACTGATATATTTAACAAAGCATTTATCTCATTAAAAAAAAATCTTTCTATTTAGACAATCTTAAGTAGATCAAAGTGAGATATTACATATTGATGAAAAACCTTTAAAAAGTTCTACTTTCATTATCAATCATATCCAACCAACACAAACTTTTCTACAAAGATCAATTTTTAACTGGTAATTGTCAATTATATTTTGGACACTTTTCTGCTATAAATGTCAGCTGGTAAGAAAGTTGGTTCATTATGCTGTGTGAGAATTTTTCTGTCCAGAATCTATCCTACATATATATAAGTCTACCATTTGTCTATGCTTAAAATATTGCTGCATCAAGCGCTCCAGTGTCCCTGCTATTTAACTTGAGCTCCTTGATAAAATCCAAAGAATCAACAATATTATTAGTCCTGATCTGGCAGCTAGTCTTCAATCATTTTCCCACTGCTGTAAGGTTGGCCCTCTGTGCCTTTTTTATAAATACTTTCATGGTAATTTTTCAGATGAGCACTTTGATATAGTACCTAAACCTTTTGAATTTAAGCGCAGATATGCATTGTGGTGTAATGGATATCAGCTCAGAGTCAGAACTTGGAGAGCAGAGTTTGTTAGATTCACTTATGCACAAATACTCTTGGGAAAGGTATGAATCCATTTCTTCTGCCTCCAGCTATGGGTTGAATAGCTGGACAGACTTGGTTCTTTAGCCTTAGTTGGCAACTAGTCCACCACAGAAAGAAATGGCTGCAGGAAAAAATCTGCCTCGTCAGTCACGTATCTTTTGATACATGATCTCCCAAGCATGTATTACATATGGCACATAACTGATTGAACTAGATTAGTATCAACATCTCATCAATTTCCAGTTGAGCTGGCTAGAAGTAATTGTATATTCTATGCTAACAATTTCTTTTCTCGCTTGTGGAACTCCCTTCCAGCTCAATGCTTTCCAGCCAACTTTAATCAGCAAAAATTCAAATGCAATGTCTCACCAGAATCTATCATATATTTATAAGTCTACCAATTCATTGCATTGAATATTACTACCACATCTGGTTTGGTGTTTCTGTGACGTATTTAAAAATCATTCATAAAATATAAACACAAATCTGCAATGTTATCAGTCGACCTAGCATCACAGTTTCAGTCACTTTCCCATTGCCATAATGTGACTTCCCTGTGCCTTTTCTATAATTATTTTCATTGCAAATGTCCTGATGAGCTTTCCTCTTTGATACCTAGACTTTATGAATTTAAATGTACTACTAGATTGGTAATGAGGCCTCATCAATTTGAAATGGCTAAATGTAACCATAAGTTCTAAAAGTTTTTTGTTTGCACTCCTCACTCAGAACTCTCTTCCAGCTTCTTGCTTTCTAGTCAACTTTGATCTTCAAAAATTTAAATGCAATGTCACTCGTTATCTTAATTCCTCAGTTACTTTCACTCTCAGTAATTCATTGCATCTTAGTGGCTTTATTGCCTCGCTTGGTGATGAAATGATAAAAAAAGAAAAGAACAAAAGTTGCCCCTTATTTTAATAGCCAAAAATAATATGTCTTGAAACTTAAACCTTTTCATTAGATTTATATAAATTGATAAGAACTAGTTTGAGGGATTGAGGCCATTGCTGGAGGAAATGATTAATTCCCACCATTTTTGTTAATTTCTCTCTTATTTGGTGTTAGCATATGATATGATAAAAAAAAAAAAAAAAAAAAAAAAGAAAAAAGAAAAACAATTTTAGAATATTTTTTCATTTTTACTTTCTATAACTGGTCCTGTGATTAATGAAATTATTTAATATGGTTTTATTTATTTTTAGTAGTTCTAATCACCATGAAAAACAAAAATCAAGAACTGTAAAAATAAATCATTTACATTTCCCCTGATAGAACTTTATAATAGACATCAGTTTTATTTATTTAATTTTGACAAGATTATTGTAATCTTAGAACTCAAACCAACAAATACCAAAAGGTAAACGTTTTTATCCCCATAAATTACAAATACTAATGAGAACAGATTTATTGATCTAAAAAAGTTGACAAAGAATCCATGTGACAAAGGCCTTATTAAAGGATGACAAATGCTTTAATGAAGAACAACAAAGATCACATGGTTTAATTTGCTGATTATTTGTGAAAACTTTGAACTCAATTTGTTTATGAAACAATTTTACATTTGAGGTGATATTTCAACAATTGGATTACAGATAATGAACAAAGTCCATGCTTTGAACAAATTTAATGATGTTTATACCTCTACATACAAACAAAAGTGAATAGCAATGTAAATGGTGAGGAAGCCAGCAATATTTTAAGCTTTCAAGATGGTTTTAAAATTATAAAGTTAAGACATTACAAACAGTTTATATGAAATCTGGTTAGGTTATTTTCGTGCCATTATTTGGAAGATAAAATACTAAAATTTAAAAAATCACGAGGAAATGAACAATGTCAGATTTTTAACCTTTGCTTGCTGTTCAACGATATCTACAATATTTGATAACATTATGCATGAAATATATAAAAATTAAGTTTCCTATT